TATGGGAGGTTCAAGGAAGTAAACTAGATTATGGGTCTATCTTGAGGGTTCCCTGAAAGAGGTTTCAACTTCTGATTTTATCAATTTCAGAGTCTGGTCATAGAAACAAGAATGTTAGAATTCCAGGGTAGATTGGGAACACAGGGGCAAAAACCCCATGTAATCCAGGTGAGTACTGGAGCAGTTTCCCCCAGCCTACTGTAATACAGAAAAATGTTTTCACAGGTCTACAGAGGATTAGGGTTATAGCTGAGACGTTGATTTAGAAGCAAATCATGGCACACCCTCTGGTGTTGATACTCACAGAGGAATGGTTGGGCTGACACAGACTGCAACAGAGGCAGTCATGGAAAGATCATGACCCCCCCGACTCTCTGATCATTAAGTGAACCAGGAAAATCTTAAGTCCAAATCTGGTAAAAACTTGGAGATTTATCCCTTAATTAACTGAGATTTCAATTTCTCTATATGGAAAAATGAGAATAACTAGAAATGAAGAAGAAGAGGAAAACAAAGTTACTGTCATCATATTCTTTATATCACACAACGAATAGCTGAGTTTCCCAGAAAGCTCTTCATGATGTGTTCTGAAATGTATCCTTTTATATAGTCCTCTTTCATATTGAACCTGTACTGGACTGGTTACTCACTTTAGCCAATGAAATGGGACACAGATGACCCCATCTCAGTTCAAGGTCTGAATCTAAAACAGTCTGAAAGTATCTGCTTTAGTAATCTTGGCAGCCTTGAGCTACTGTGTAAGAATTCTGGCTACGCTGCTGGGGGATGACATGCAAGGCATGGGGAGAGCAGAGTCCATGAGGACACATGGAGGTGGACCAGGAAACCCAGTAGATAGGAAGAATCAAGGCCTCAGACGTATGACCTCAGTGAAGTGTCTCCAGCTGGCTTCTGGTTGTTTGAGTGATTCTTGCTGAGGTTCCAGAGGTGTGAATGAAAAAGCTATCTTGTCCTCATAGTCAACACGTGGAATGCACTAGGCAGTCTCTGATAAGCCCTGTCTGAAGTTTCAATCCAGGAATCATCAGAATAATGAAATTGTGGTTGTTTTAAGTCAATACACTTTGTGGTAGTTTGTTGCACAGGAATACACACCTAAAGAAACATATTGATATTAAAACATTGTAATCGAGAAGAGTGGGTGGAATTGATAGTTAATAATATCTTCTCTCCTGTCACCTGTGCTACTGTTGCCTGTGGACCAGTATTAACTGTAAAACAGTATTAAAGCTAAGGATAAAAGTAAGCTTGTCTGTAGGTAATCCTGGCCAAAATACTCAGCAAACACGATTGCAATCTTGCGACCATATTCAGCTGGTTGTAGAAAAGCTATCCTTTGTGGCTTATTCCTCCAAAGAGTTGATCTGTGTCTCTATGAGGTAAATCATGTTCGCATGCACGCTGCAAAGAAGAGCCTCTCCCTTGATTTTTTTAGTCCTATCTATAATTGGTGACTCTGATATTATAAAGTGATTAAATATTCCAGTGCTTTCATCCCTTTGCCTTTCACTATTTAGTTTTTAAAATTAAATTTTAACTAAAAATTAGTTGTAAAACATCAGTCTTATCTAAAATAATGTAAAATCATGTAACAGATAATTTTTTTTATTTGAAATCAAGCTAGAGTTTTTGGCTCCCATAATTTTCCTCTTGCTGCCTTCATGTAACATCACTGGAGTTGGAGACTATCACCTCCAGACATTTATTTTGATAATTTTTCTACATATATGTGAATCCACCAACCACATTCATTACTACTTTGTGCATTTTAAAATATTGAATAAATAACATTTTATGACATGTACTCATGCAGATATAGTTTATTTAAGCTTCTGTGTCATATTTCATTGTATTAATAAACCATATTTTGATTTTTTTCAGGCTCCTACTGAGTTATACTTAATGTATTTCCACTCTTTCAATATATCAAGCACTGTGTAAATGAACATCTTTGTAACTGTCTAATCTTGCAAGTTCTTTACTGTTTTTCTACAAGAGACACCATTAAAGTAAAATTGCTCTATCGTGAGTAAATTTATTTCAAATTGTTATTACCAAATGTCTTTTGAAAGGGGTTGTATCAATTGGCCAATAATATATTGGACAAATTTATTAGTAAGGTATAAGATAAACTTTCCCCCCAATATTCTATCCAAATTTAAGGTTTCAGGTACATTATTTTGCCAAACTGATGTATACAATTTTTCTTTAAATTGTCACTTTTAAAATTACTAATGTGGTTTGACATAATTTCATATTCATTTGTTGTTTAAGGTCAATTGTATGTTTCATATAATGTATCTATTTTTCTATTGAATTATCTTTTTGATTTGTAGTTATTCTTATTTCTGAGTTCAAATTCTTTTCAGTTTAATGATTTGCAAATATCAGTCTCTGTATGTGGATTGAATTTTCAATTTGTTTTGACATACAGACATTTTATTTTATGGTTTATGATTTTAATCTCTTATTTACAAATTGTTTCCTATACTGAGAGCATAATAATTTGCTCTTGTGTTTCTCAAAAGTAATATTTAAATAAACTCCCAAGCACAATGATGTTATTAATCCATCCATAAATGGTCATTGTATTTGGTGGGAGATACAAATCTAGTTTTATCTTTTTGTTCTTTATGGTTTGCAATTTTTCTGCATAACTTTTTGCACGCTTTATCCTCTCTGTACATGTCTTTAATGTACCCCTCTGCCAAGTAACTAAATGTGTGTTTTTGTGTGTGTGTGTCTGTCTGTCCTAGATCCTACTGGTCTATCTTCTTGTCATTGCACTACTGGTACATTGTTTAAGAAAAAATAATATTTTATGATAAAAACTAGTATATAGTAGGACAATTCCCCATTGTTTTCTTCTTCCAAATAATCTTGGTTTTTAGCGTGTCTACTTTTGTTTTGTGTTTTGTTTGTTTGTGAGACATAGCCTTGCTCTGTTGCCCAGGCTGGAGTGCAGAGGCACAATCTCAGCGCACTGCAACCTCCACCTCCCAGGTTCAAGCAATTCAATTATCCTGCCTCAGCCTCCCAAGTTCCTGGGATTACAGGGGCCTGCCATCATACCCGGCTAATTTTTGTAGTTTTAGTAGAAATTGGATTTCGCCACGTTAGCCAAGTTGGTCTCAAACTCCTGACCTCAAGTGATCCACCTGCCTCAGCCTCCCAAAGTTCTGGGACACAGATGTGAGCTACTGCACCTGGCCATGTCTAATTTTTTTTGACAAAATCTTTGAGATTGTACTTGAAATACATTTAGGGGTAATTGGTGAAGAGTTAACAAATTTAAGATTTAGGATCCTTCCTTCCATGAACACATTTCCCAATTTGCTTATATCTACTTTTATTCATATAAATAAAGTTATATAATTTTCTTAAAAAGAATTTTGTGCATACTTTGTAAGATGTATCCTGTATGGGTATCTTATATATTTGTGCTATCTGAAAGAATACATTTTAAAACTTAATTATTTAATTTCTTCCTTACTTTTATAGGAACCAAATTTATTTTTGTATATGGATCTTGCATACAGTGATTTTACTTGGATCTCTTATTTGTTTTGCTTTTTTGTCTATAACTTCTGTTGACTTTATTTGTTGAAAATCATATCATCTCTTACTAATGACAGTTTCATTTTTAAATATTTAAATTTTATGCACATATGGATTTGCTTTCATTGACTTTTCTTTCTAGTTTTCATCCATTCTGGATCATCAAAACCATTATCTCTTTTGATATTGGCCTTAGCCTATCGTCTCTGTTTTCTCTTTTTAGAAGTCTTATTGACATATGTTGTGATATTTTATTTGTGTTTGTAAGCGTGTTGTATTTTTTCCGTGATTTTTTTACTATGACTTTTTTATTCATTAGTATTTCTTCCATATATAATATAACTTAGTCTCGAGATTTCTTTTTTTTTGAGAGTATTCACTTATTTATCCATTTACATATACATTAAATATCTTTACTGTCCACTGAGTATAAGGCATTGGAGATATATATTCTGCTCTAATGGAAATTATAGATGCTATAATTCTTTTCGTTGCTAAGTCTTTGCCCGCAATTGCAATGATTTCCTTAAGAATATTTTGGACACGTATTTCTTGGTTGAAAAGTCTGAAACATGCTAACAGTATAACGACATTGCCAAATATTTATGTTGAGAGTTTGTGTTAATTTGTATTCAATAGCTAACTTAAAGAACAAGGACTCTCTCCCACTAAAATGTGTGTATTGCGTGTATGTGTGTGTGTGTGCACAAGCACGTATAGTCAGCCTTTTTTACTTTTCTTCTAACTATTCTTAAGCATTTTCTATACTTTTTTATTAGAGTACAGAAAAAAATCAATATTTAATCAATCACTCTGGCTACTTCTTGGCAGTTTATATAAGTTTATTGGCAAAAATGTGACTGCTGGATTTCCTTGGGGGAGGGTTCCATTAATCCATGCTATTTCTTTGATTCTCCACAGCAAAGATAATTTACACTTGATAAGAATCTACAACTTTGTCGTAAGTCATAAGAGTTATTTCCTTGATTTACTGGGTTGAGACAAATCAAAATGAGAATCCAGGATTAATTCATTTGAAACGTATTGGCTGGCCATTATTTCAATTTAAAATAATTTAATATTAAAAGTTTGACATTTCTAAGTAAGTAAAATTCAGCCTCATTTAAAAATGTTGTCAAGGCCAGGTGCGGTGACTCACGCCTGTAATCCCAGCACTTTGGGAGTCTGAGGGGGGCAGATCACGAGGTCAGGAGATCAAGACCATCCTGGCTAACATGGTGAAACCCCGTCTCTACTAAAGATACAAAAACAAACAAAAAACAAAAAACAAACAAACAAACAAATTAGCAGGCGCCTGTAGTCCCAGCTACTCGGGAGGCTGAGGCAGGAGAATGGCGTGCACCCGGGAGGCGGAGCTTGCAGTGAGCCGAGAATGCGCCACTGCACTCCAGCCCGGGCGACAGAGCGAGACTCCGCTCAAAAAGAAATGTTGTCAAGTGGCTATTCCTTAAAATTCCGCCTGAATGACTAAGGTGTTACATCGTGAGGATACGGGTTGTTTAAACAAGGGCTGAGAAAAAATACGTATATTTATTAGACTACATATCTCTTGAAACACATTTTTAATATTTCTATACATTTTAATTTAAAGAATAAATTAAAAATACTTCTCATGGTTTGAGGACAGAATAAGACCAAACTAGCTGCTCCATAACATCCATAAATTCCGTATTAGTGGATTCCAGCTGGATAAACTGCGGGGCATCTCGATTCCCCAGTGTTTCCAAGCTTGACATTGAAAAGGAGTTTGCATTAGCTTCTTTGGGGCTACCTGTAAGTAGTACCTTTGACATTCTACAGATATTTTTATTTAAGCTGGGTTAAATCAGAATTCCAGTGGAAGCAGTAATGCCAGAAAATTGTGTGAATGACTATGTATAGGATTGAGCTTTTTCTTAGAAAGATGAAGTTTTTTCATTGTCAGATATCTTGAGAACATGTCAGTCATGTGGCAGAAAAATGAAAGTCAGGAGGAAAGCTTCATGTTGTAGTGAGATAAAACTTCCTCTTCTCTATGGGTATGAGCCAAATTATGCTTCAAAGCATGGAGATTCCTACAGTATTTCCCATGGCAGGAGTGGGGGTTGAGCTTCCCCTGGGGATGTGCTTCCCCTGGGGATTGCTTGGAGCAATGCAGAGAAACAGCCCAGGTAGAGATCCTGGGGAGAAGCTGAAACTTCATCTATGTGTTAAGCTTTCATGACATTATCTCAAGCTTTAAGTTAATTATCATAAGAAAGAAGAGCCTGGACTCTTCCACAATGTAGTGGATGGAAGCAAAGGGCTTCCTCCATGCTTGGGTTGAAGTAGGAAAGTGGAATGGGGGTATTTTTCACTGAGTTTATGAAGGTGGATAGTGGGATGATCACTAAATGCTGCAGATCTTTATGTGGGACTTTGCAACAGCAGCAACAGTTTGGGAGTAGAACCAGGCTATCATAGTGAATGACCTGCTCCTGAGGACAAGTGAGTATCAACCCTGGACCGCTCAGAAATAGTATACAATTACAAGGAGAAGAATTTGAGCCTTTAAGCAAATGAGAGCTGGTGGTATGAAAATGTGTATTTCATGAGATTTTTCTGCACTGGACTTTTCTCCATACTGACTTACTTTTTATGTAGAGCAAAGTCTGGGCTAGCATTTACCAGTCTCATTTCTGAGTTTCCTGTAAGCTCCATCTTCTCTACAGAATCTTCACACCGCACCCTCCCAGTCTACACCTGCTATTTCTTTCCTTTCCGCAGCTCATAACAGCTCTGCAAGTGTGAGAGGCATCTCAACACGCTGGTAAGTGGCAGAAATTCCAAGGTTGGGAATGGGGAGGAGGGAAGAAAAAATGAAGAAAGGGAGGGAGGAGATAATCACATAGATTAGCCTCACTTACTAAAAATAAGATGTGTGATACTCTGAAAAGTAGAGAATTTAACTGCAGAATCCAAATTTCTAAATGGAATGTGTCTCTCCAGGACATGAGATTTTGCAAAAGAAATGAATAACAAATATCAAAGATTTCGGACTCCATGGGTCCATTTTACATTAAATCCACACTATACAGAAAAATTAAGCATCTATCCTGACATGAAGAGACAAGCAGGATAGTCTATTTTAATTCAAAAAGCAAGTACTTAAGCTTTTAGTAAGAAATGCATCATGTTTCTGCCCTTTGTTCCTCACCTGCCACTTTTTGAAGAAATTCTACTCTAGTGTTGGGTGTTGTGTTAAACTGTTACACACTGAAGTGTGATGCTGCATGAATTATATTGAGTAGTAGGGTAAGAACAGAGCTACACTTTTGTTGCTTGGTGTGGAAGGATGTTATTTCTTTAAGTCATTACATTACGAAGGACTTTATAATGTATTTACACATATATTACACACTTTGTAATATACGTAACATATTTACACGGATTCTACATAAAATTAAATTCAAGAAAAAGGCAAATTCAATGGGCATATGAATAACATAACCACAGTTGGGGTTTTTGCTTCCAAATGAATTGAATATTTCCACTCTTAAGTGAGAAACTGTTGTGTTCACAGTCCCTTCCCCCTTACAGTACTGGTCTCTTGTGGATCTCAGAGTGAGCTGAAAAAGACAAAGGCAAAAGCAAGTTTTTGGGAACTTGGACAAATGTTTTGTTATCATGAAGTTAATGTGTACAGAAGTAAGCATGGTGCTATTTCAAGTTTATCTTATAGGGATATATTTAACCCAGGTTTACAAGAATCTTCCAGAAAATGCTTCACCACAGGAAATAGCACGAAGGGTAAATGTGGATTATGTTTTTTCTGAGTCACATATACCTTAGACTATTCGAGAAAGAGAGCATCTTGAGATGTTTGCATCTCAGCATCTTACTGTTTTAGATTCCAAGTTGTCTAACTTTGGAGCTACGGGGAGAATCTGGGTCCCTATCAGAACTATAAAATCTTAGAAGCAAAAGAGACATGCAAAATTAGTACAGGTGTTCCAAAGTAACTGGCTAAACTAGTGGCTTTAAAATATTTTTCAGCGTGATACATTATTAAAATGCATTTTATATGACAACCCGGTATACACTTACATATACATATGTATATTTCCCTTTGCTATGTCTGCTGCAATCATGTTTCTTTCATTTCTATTCTATTTTGTTTAAAATTGCTTCTGATCAATTAAGTTGCTACAGTGTCAACTTGTGTGTCTCAATATACTGTTTGGAGAACACTTAGGTTTACTAATGAAAAAAAAACACAATAGGTTATTTCATGTATGTGGGTGTGTGTGAAATATAAAGGTGCGCTGCCTTGCCTGCACAATGTAGACTACTTTAATATTAAACTTCTATAGGCATCTCAGAATAATGACAGGTGACTTTGACCAGTTTCTCTGATAACAAGCCCCGAGCTTGGTCACAAAGATTGCAAGGGGAAAAGTTTACCCTTCAAGAAAGGGTGGCTGAAGAGTGATTGGAAAGGACATTTGAAAAAAATAAAATCAAAACAAAACAAAAAACCTGTACCCATGGAATTAACGGGAGTTTCCTAGAGAAATGGAGGGGAAACTTACCCTGCACATATTGACCAAGGTCAGGAAGGTCAGGGAATCCTGGATAGTGAAGAGACTATGCAGTGTAAAAAGCCAGCTCTAAGGATGGAAAAAGGAAATAAGATAGAGAAAGAGAAGAAAAAAGACACTCTTTCAGGGAATTTTAGTGGTGAAGAGATACAAATGAAATGAATAAACAAACTACGTTACTAACGTGGAAGAGATGAGTTCAGAGGAGTAGACAGGAAGCATAGTTAGATGAGGCTTTTTAGGGAATAGTAAAAGAAAAAAAAATGAGATTTTCCTCTTATTGAAGAAAAAAGTAAGTGAAAATGTACTTTTAACTAAGTTAAGACAAGTATTCTCTGAGATAAGTTTTAAAACAATGGTTTCACTTTTTTTTCTTTTTCTTTTTTTATTTTTTTCTGATTGAGAGACTACTGCATAGCTCCTGAGAAAGTAATATACAAGATATTTTGGGCTCCATAACTAAAAATTAACAGTGACAAATTCAAATGTGTTCAGGTTAGAGAATCTCAAATAGGGAAAACTCTAGAATGAATACTCTATTAAGAACCCCAAAGGATCTGAATGTGTTCACCTTAAAGAAATGAATGCTCCAGGGAGAAGAGGTCTCTATCCCCAGGTATAAAGTTTTTGTGTAGAAAAGGCCCACACATTTCTGTGGTTTGAAACAGGCACATACAAATCAAAGAAGGACGTCATACTTCGTGGTGATGGGAATCAAAGTTGTTGATACCATCTCCAACTCTGGGACTCTGACTCTAAGTTTTGGTGAAGAAAACTTGGAAGATTCAAAACCAATATAAATTTTGCCTTTCTCGTGAAATTATCTCCTTAAGGTTTGCTCCGTTAAGGGAGACAAAAACATCCAGGAGATCTTAGAACGATAATCCATTTACACAGGAATTTTCAAAGAAATTTCAGCTTTCCTGCCAACACAAATGGATCGGTACTGTCCTCCTGTACTATACTGACATATTTCATAAGGCTTGCTTGCAATGTCAGTCATGAGTATAGTAAAAGGAAGAGAAGTTTTTAAACTTGATTTTTTTTTTTTTTTGGTCCCTTCTCTACCTCCTAATTTTGAGACATTAGAAGCAATGCATTTATCTTCTAAAGCAAACATGACAGAAATAAAACACGCTTTACTATTTAATTACATTTTTCATAGTATTTTGTAGCTACTCAAACAAAGTATGTCAAAAATTTTGAAAATCTAAATTTGGACTTAACCCATGAATCAAAAAGAAAAGAGCTTTAAGTCAGGAGACCTAAGACTGAGCTTGACTACAAACCATACATTGATGCTGGCTCGTTGTTGAATACTCTGGTTTACTATAACTACTGAAAAGTTATTTTTATTGTCATATTATTGACCACCCAAAATGATGTATTTTAGTAACTCAAAATAATAGAAAAAGGAAATGAACCTTAAAGAAGTATTTTTAATTTATCACCTGTTGTTTTTTAAGCCAGGCCACTTCCTCTTTCTTAGTTTTATTGAGGTATAACTGATAAATAAAATTGTATATGTTCAAACTATACAACATGATGTTTTTATACAGGTATACACTGCAAAATGATTGCCACAATCAAGCTAATTAACACATCTATCAGCTTACATACTTACCTTTTTTGTGATGAGAATACTGAAAATCTATTCATTTGGCAAACTTCAAGTATATTTTTATTAAGTAGAGGCACCATGTAATACATTAGGTCTCCAGAATTTATTCATCTTATAATTGCAAGTTTGTTCCCCTTGACCAGCATCACTATATTTTCCACGTCTCCAGCCTCTGGAGCCCCTCTCTTCATGCCTAAGATACAGTATTGTGCTAAGTTGGATTTCTTTGCAAATCCCATGAGTTGTTCTGGATTTTTAGTAATTTAAATAGTAGCCTAGATGGAATCCATTTGTTTGCCAAATAGTTCATACTAAGATCTGAGAAACACAAAAGGAAAACTGCGTTCAGAGTATTCTGGTAAATGCAGTTAAGTATTTTGGGGATAGCCTTAGGGAAAGAGACCTGCCCTCTGCCTGGCATAAATTATAAGTAATTAGTAGAAAAGAATTTTTTTTAAATTTGAAAATGATAGACTAATAAGCACATGATGCCTATAATTGTAAATAGTTTTTCTTTTTTCCAAAAAGTGTGATTTCAAGTAAAGTTGATTAATAATGGACTCTTAAATCATATACCTTTTATTTAGGTTGATCTTGAGAGAGGCTCATTTGCAACATAACTGTTTTAGGCAGGGTAAAGAGGCAAAATTTCCAAGTGCATACTATGTACTATTAGGAGGATGCCTGAATATACTTTTAAAAGAGACTTTTAGTTAATAAGTGAGCTCTAATTTAAGAGACCCAGTTAGTAAATTTCTGATTAATTATAGTAAAATGTGTAGGAATCATGAATTATTGACTTTTCTCTGAACATTCATATTTTAGGAAACTCAAATACCATGTGAGAAAATACTATTTTAATATGTTTGTAATTAGTTTAGTTTTATATCCAGGTAGCAAATTCCATGAGGGCACAAACCTGTTTATCATATTCATCATTTAATCTTTTGGGTCTAGGAAAGAACATAATAGATTTTCTAAAGTTGCCTATAGAGTAAGTAGATGAATGGCCCTGATAGAATGTAAAGCAAAGACAAACAACCAAAAGAAACGATTCCTATGTTGGCAATACCCCAAACATCTTCTAGAACCCAGGCAATACCAGCCAATAGTCTTTAATTTTAAGTTTATTGAAAATGAAACACTAGCAAATTCTTAATTTTTAAAGATAGCGTTAACTATAGCATCCCTAGGCGTTTTTCTTTCTTTCTTTCTTTTTGGCAGAGTTTCATTCTTGTCACCCAGGCTGGAGTGCAGTGGTGCAATCTTGGCTTACTGCAACCTCAGCCTCCCAAGTTCAAGTGATTCTCCTACATAAGCCTCCCACGTAGCTGGGATTACAGGCGCCCACCACCAAGTCCAGATAAGTTTTTGTATTTTTAGTAGAGATAGGGTTTTGCCCTGTTGGGCAGGCTGATCTCGAACTCCTGACCTCAGGTGATCCCCCTGCCTTGGCCTCCCAAAGTGTTGGGATTACAGGCGTAAGCCACCACACCCGGCCAGCTATACTTTTTGTGCTATAAATATAAGCATAACTTAATAGATATATTTTCTAAGGGATCAAAGGAATGGTTTAAGATCTCTGATTTTGAATTAGTCATATCCAGCTTCAAATACTCATTTATCTCTGTAAAATACCCACTTTTGTAGTGTTGGCCAAATTACGTAATATCTGTAACCTCCATTCTCTCATCTGTAAAATGGAAATAAGAGTATTTACCTCATAGAATAGTTGAGAATGTAAAATAAAACTATTATGCTATATATATATATATTTATTTATATATAGCATACACACACAGTGATTAGAAAATGGGTGTTGATAAACAATAGATAGTAGCTGTGATTCATGTGATAAGAAAATTCAATTTACTAACAGATTGTATAACCAGATTTATTTAAATAATTAAATTTTTTTTTTCTATACTGGTATGCAGTTTTTAAGAACTTGGTTTGGTTTTTTAAAAAGTAAGTGGATTTTCTATTGAATTATTTGGAATTTTGTAATACAGACTTTCCTAATTTAGTCACAAAAAATTTATACATATATAAAAAGGGGACTGGTGTCCACAGCAAATTGAATTTGAAATGTTAGATGCTATAAAGGATTTAGAAACAGTGATTTATTAAATCTGAAATTACGATGTCAATTGGAAAATATAAATTCATGTATAAATCACAATATACACGTTTTTGGGAACATGAATAACTACTTTAGGGTAAGAGGCCTTAAGGCTTTTTGAGTAGATACAGCCTTAGTTTCCTTACTTTTAGGTGAAGATAACAGTCACTGGGGGGTCGTCTTCTTTCTATCTCTTTCTTCCCCACTCAGTGAATAGACATGTATACGTAAAAAAGCAGATATAAATAGAGTTTGACATAGCAGTTGTATAGTACTTGGCACATTACTGACAATGAAAATAATGAGTTTGATTATAATGCTCATCATAAATGTGTTTAGCCAGTTAACACTAAAAAACGTGTCAGAGTCCAGAAAAAAACACTGTTGTAAATACCATAAGGAAGCAACCACTGCATTGAGAAATATCCTTGATTATATTAATTTACCTTCAGAGGCTCATTTTAACTTTAAGATTACAAGATCAGTTTCTCTGCAAAGTTAAACTGAAAAATATGACAGCCTACCTAGGCTTCTCAAAGTGCTGAGATTATAGGCATGAGCCACCATGCCCAGCCTCTAGTTTGATTTCTTAATGTAAATGAACACATAAGAAATGAAGCTTATTCTGTAGCAAGTTTCCTGAAAGTGGAAGTCTGAGGTAATAAAACCTGAAGAAGCCCTTTGCCTTTTCCTATCCTGAGAAATACATTAGATGTTGTGAATCATTTTTGGAGAGATAGAGTCTCAGTCTGGAATTTGCTGGTAATGTACTAACACCTGGGTTTTTTTCCAATCGAAAAACTTTGACTTGAATTACACTTCACGGTTTATTGCCTTGTCACAGCGGGACCCATGACAGGTGGGACCTTAGTAGACTTAGGCGTATGAATTAATCTAGTTTGTGGCTTTGAGCAGAGGAAGAAAATTGAAGCACACCTCCAATAACTGATGACATCCATTATGTGTCTGCTGACATTTTGAGACTGATGCTGGGCATGGAGGAATTACAATGACACCATTTTCTTTCATCATTCAACTACGAAAAATATCTACTGACGTCCCTTAGTGCAATAAACTTTTGTTTTCCTCTATAATATGCTGTTGCATATTATATGATGCATGCTAACAGCATCAAAAATTCAATTTTTATGAACTCCTTCGGAAAACTGCAAAGGCAATTGAGGCTTTTGAAGTGGTGAAGAGTTTCTTTGTCAAGCAAAGTTTTGACTGTAAGAAAAGTGTATGCCATCTGTGATCTTGACAACAAATTTGGTTTGCTACTCTTGGACAAGAAACTCTTTTGTCATTGTAACCTGTGGGTATCAATGGATATAAAGGATACTGCCATCAATCCTCAATTATTTTCCACTGGCTTAAAAGTCACCAATTATATATTGGCAAATACATTGCCATATATTTTTTATATGGCAAATATATATATATTATATATATATATGTGGAAGAGGTATGGCTTCATAGTTCATAGCAATAAATCTTAGGGAATTTGAATGAAATTCAGGCATCAGCTTCACTTTCTGGAGAAGAAAAATGTCCAGATTGCAAAATAGTTTGACAATGAGAAATTCATCAATTACTCAGATTGTTTAGTAAATAACTTGAGCCATAAAAATAAAATAAATTTTATTGTATGATGCAAGGTCATCCAATCAGTCACCTCAAGTGCTACCTAAGCAGGTGGCTACCTCATCTATCTGCCATTTAACAATGGAGTATTGATGCCAACTGATACTGGATTTTCCTGTGTTGTAGGAGGTGCTTCTTAGTAGCAAACACAGCTGATTTCTCTGCAGTTAAAAACAAGCACATTAGAGTAGTGTTAAACTTATCTGAAGGTTAATTATTCTTAGGTGACTTGAAAGTTGATTTGTGATTTCTCTTCCTTTACTATATCTCAAAGTATTAATGACTTGAAACTTGCTAAAGATGATCTGGTAAGCAAATGAAATACTCCAGTTCAAATTCCCTCAATGCGTGCTGTAGAATCTTGTTGTTCATTAATGCATGAATATCAATGTCAAGCAACAAAACTTTTGACAATTTTTATTTTGTTTGCTAACTTTGTGAACTATGGTATTATTACTGTTGTCATCAAAATAGAGAAGTTCAAATCAAATAGATGTAAAAAAGGAAATACATTAATTATTTCCAGGGGAAACCTACATGTCAAAATTTAACTTCATCTTTAAAGCAAACAATATTGACTAATAAAAAATATGCATGCTTTCTAGCAGAATTGAGGCTTAATTTTCATTTTACTTTCCCCATTTAGGTTTACAAAAATAAGACAAGGAGAGGTCCTGATTTTTGTTAAGAAAAAATTCATTCCATGTGAAGGAAATTAATTTCCAGGTCCATAAAATAAATTGTACATGTATGTTTGCTGTGCTTAGAAAACTTTTGTTTTATTCTTTACCAAATTAATTATTTTATGTAGATTTTAAATAAATTGTGCATTTCTAAAGAAGAAAGTGTTTTCTAACTGTCCTTATACAGACAAATTTGCCTATTCTACATTCTCACATGACCACATACCAGACCCCCTTATAGCAGTTTATCATATGTGCTAGTTTACATATTTTGGTGATTTCATTAAGCTAACATCTCTTCCATTGGCCTACACCTTCCAGGAGAGCAGGAAATCTGCATGTTTTTTCAAAAAATTTATTTTATTTCATTTTATTTTTTCTTGAAACAAGGTCTCATTCTGTTACCCAGGCTGAAGTGCAGTGGAGTGATCACAGTTCACTGCAGCCTAAAACTCCCTGACTCAAGCAGTCTTCCACCTCAGTTCCCTGTGTAGCTGGGACTATCGGTGTGTGTCACTATGCCTGGCTAATTTTTTTTTTAGTAAAGTCTCACTATATTGTTCAGGCTTGTCTTGAACTCCTGGGCTCAAGTTATCCTGCCTCCTTGGCCTCCCAAAGTATTGGGATTACAGGCCTGAACCGCTATGCCCGGCCTGTCTTTCTTTACCATTGTCTTCCCAGCCCCTAGAGAGGGCCTGCCCGTGGTAGGAAGTTGTTAAATGTTTATTAGACAGTGAAGACTTACCAAATTGAAAGATCCTTAAACCCGAAGGAAGAGAGCCATAGTTCTGTGGTGAAGAAAACCTCCTAGCTGCTAGACAATTGATTTGCTCTGGTTCTATAGATTTTTAGAAAAAGAAAAAGAGAGGTAGAGACACAATCAGGAGAACTGCAAATCATTTTCGAACTAGATAATTTTGTTAAGCCCTTCAAATAGGATCCATTACAATATTCTTATACTATTTATATTATTTATTGTTTTACTGTTATATACACACACAAATTTATATATAATAGATGTGATATGTATATTTCATTGTTCTACATAAATTTAAAGACACACATTGTCTTCAGTGCATCATTATTTTTACATGTATATTCCAAGCACCCTATGAAATAGTTACATGATTAACCTGAAGTGTTCATATCTGTGACCTGCTCTTCACATGTTTCCATTTCAGTGACTCCTAAGAGACATGTCAGTTTTCTAGGTATTTACCAGGGGTCACCAAAGTTAGAAAGTGTTTCTCTAGTCAATAGAAAAATGTTCATCTTTTGTCTAAGGTATGAAGAGTAAAAACTTGTTATCTGAGCTTGTTGGCATGAACAGTTTACTAAGATATAAACAAATACTGAGCAACAATTTTTAAAAATTTTTTTCTTAAACTAAAAGTATGAAACCACTAATAAATAAAATGCCAATCTGGGAAACATCACTATGAACTACTTACTTTGGTAATTTGGCTCATAAATACATGATTTTTACCATATTACAAACAGTAAGTAATTGTGTCAGCTATGCTTTCACAGTATGTTCAAGATGTTCATTTGTTGGGGGAACTGCAATGAATCAGATAGGACCTGGAACATACCACAATGAGCAATGGCACCCTGTACCTTGCATAAGAGACCACGCAACCTGTTTAATCTGAATGTTAAAGTAACTGCCACCTTCATAAACACCCACTTCACCCTGATTTGACTTAAACACAGCTCTTATTAAGAGCAACCTCAGATCATTGCTAACTCTTATAGAGGCTTAACCATGCAAGTGCAGTGCTGAGATGAGGAATTCAAGTGACATTTAAGGTCTACTTAATTTCTAATAACAGAAAATACACCTCAAGGAGAAAGCCTGGAGATAAAAGAAGAAATAATTATTTCTCTCTGCTCACAGGTCATTGTAGTAGATTTACTATTACTTTCGATAGTTTCAACAGCATGGAATTCTCAGCTTGTGATTCTAGATGATTGTTCTCGTCAAGTTGAGTATACATAGTAAGTCTGAGAAGCCATTCAGGTCCCAGTCTCTAATGGCAGAACATATCATTGATTAGGCATAGCAAAGAGTATGATGGTTTTTATGAACCCATCTATACTAGCCTTACAAGCTCCTATTTTTAATACATTTCTATTTATTTAATAAATTTGCCATTCGAAATCAATATAAAAATGTGGTAAGATCTTAAAATCTACATATATTTGCACACGTATGGATGAATATATAATTCAGTGCATTTTTTTGCATTTACTTTATGAAATACTATCTGGCCTGCTAATCTTAATTTGAAATACATATTGTGACTTTATTAAAAATTGTAAGATCTATAGTAGGATTAATGAGAATAATAGTAACAACAACAAAAGGTATCTTTAATAGGCACTTAATATGTTTATTTTAATATGTTTTCTAATTTTATTTAATTGCATTGTCATGAAAATAATATGATGTGTAGATATTATTATTGTAATTATTATTCCTTCAAGTAGACGATGTGCTGAAACTCTAAAATTTCAGAGAATTATATAGCTTATTGTACTCATCCAACATGAGTGTTTTTCACTAGTCTTCCATTTTGTGTGCCTATTTTGTGTGTCCTTTGATTATTCTGCATTTATTCAATGGACAGGGACAGGAAATGGGTAGAGGACTTTAGAGCAGCATTTTATGGGATAAGCCTCAAAGTGGTCACCATAACTTCTATCCATAATCTGTTTAGCCAGAAGAGAGTCGTGTGGCCATTTCTTACTGCAATTATAGAAGGAGACAAGTGAAACATTTTTTGGTGAACACATGATAGCATCTTCCAGATTCATATTTATTAGTGAACAAAATAATAATCAGAGAATCACGTCATATTCCCAAACAAGCAATCGGGACTTGTATTAATCCGTTTTCATGCTGCTGATAAAGACATACCTGAGACTGCATAATGTATACAGGAAAAAGAGTTTATTGGACTAACAGTTCCACGTGGCTGAGGAAGCCTCACAATCATGGTGGAAGGCAAGGAGGAGCAAGTCACAGCTTACGTGGATGGCAGCAGGCAAAAACAGAGAGCTTGTGCAAGGAAATTCCGCCTTATGAAGCCATCAAATCTTGTGAAACTTATTCACTATCATGAGAACAGCACAGGAAACACCTGCCCCCATGATTCATTTACCTCCCACTGAGTCCCTCCCACAACACATGGGAATTCAAGATGAGATTTGTCTGGGACACAGCTGAACCATATCAGGACTCTAGGTGTCATTTAAAGTTAGGTGTGACATTTCTAGCTTTGATGAAATAGCAAGAGCTAGACATGATGTCCCATAATGGAAAATGAAAAAGTAGATAAAATATAAGAATCAAGTGCTTTCAGACATTGATCAACATGCTGCATAAGACTGCAGGGTCTGAAAATGGAGAAAAAAAAATGAAGCAAGCCTTATAATTACCCTTGCTTTCTGAAGGTGCTCTCTGAGTCACAGTAAAAGAATAGGAAAACCAAGCAAAAAATAGCAAATTATTAAATTTAGTAGCTAGAAATTGGAGTTTGATAAGCCTGAGGCAGCTGATACTAGTGATCAGAGGAACAGAGAAGATGGAGCTATGCAGAGAAAAATCATAGATCTACTCAAGGATCCTTGAGTGAAACTCTCCAGTATGGGGGCAAAAAAAAGATGGGAGCTGTCAATGAAAACAATAATTCACTCAGACATGGAATAATTTAAGTCTGAAACAGCCACAGAAGGAAAGCTTTGTTAAACGCTTTGGCCCTTAAGGAAAGACCACAGATTATCATGCCTTTTGACCAGGACTAAGCTATCCCTAGAGCGGAGGCTGTAAGAGATCTACCACAACAAGACATAAACCAAGTTTCAAAAGGATCCAGATGTCCCGCAAATAACTTAAGTGCCAGCAAGAATAAAGTGTATGGATATATAAAAAATCAGAACAAAATACAGCTCTCTCAAATTGTCTAGCATCTCCTATAAAATTGTTATGTCAAGAAGCAGGAGAAATATGAGCTAGCTATTGCTACATATAAAGGATATATATATATATGCACACACATATACATATATGTATATGTGTGTGTATATAAATATATATGTGTGTGTACATATATATAGCAATGCATGGAAATGAAGGAAAAGTTGAACAGAATGAAGAGATGAGTAGAAGTTATAAAGTAGAACTGAATGGAATTTCTGAAGCTGAAATATTCAATACTATAAGTGTTAAATTCACTGAATTTGATTAAAAGTAGTTTGGAGACTTCAGAGAGAAGAACCGATAATTTGATGAATCTATATTGAATCTATACAAATTGAGACAGAAAAAAATGGAGATTGATCATACATTTGTTAACATCAAGGCAACTGTGAACTTGACAGAACTTGAAAAGTCCTTATGTGCAAAAAAAGAAAGAAAGAATTTCACAATAAGCTCAAATGTAGTTTCAGTCCACAGATTTTCTTTTTCATTTTATTATTTTAAAGGTTCTTTTGTATACACCGTATATGATACAAATGAGTTATATAACATAACATGGAGAATGGTAATTTGAGGGATGTGTGTAATAGACAATATTCTCAATTCATAAATGTTTTAAGATGATTGTGGAGGCAATGCTAATTTTCTTCTTCTAATTGCCTAACCACAAATGACACCTCCATCAATATAGTCAGTTGCCCAATCATCAGAGTCATCCTTGACTTACTGCTTTAGTTGCCTGTCTCCTTTAACAATTCCAGGACCAAGTTTGTGGATACTGTTCCTTAAATTCTGTCTCTACAAACTATACTGTCTGGGCTTCCTTCAAAATCATTCAAGTTGGTCTTCCTAATTTAGGCTTGTGCTTCTAAAATCTATTCCTCACGATGTTAATAGACTTGGTCTTTGTAAACACTTTTGATCATGTAAACCTCACTTAAATGCATTCATTGTCTCCCCATTAATCCAAATAAAAAGTATTTGTTTTATTTTTGCCATAGTTTATAATGTCCTGTATAATCTAGCCCCTGATTACCTCTTCAGCATCATCTCCTGCAAATTTTCTTTCACTTAAAAAAAAAAAAAAAGATTACATTGCTAGTGAGTCACAATCAGAAAGCTTATTGCTGTAATACTTTAGGATAAATCAATCAGATTCTAAGATTAGACTCTCTGCTTCTAGTTTATACAAGTAAGAATTTATACAAAGAGCTGAAAATCTAATAATATTATGTTTAAAATTGATTTTCTAATGGTGGTGTTTGTACAGTAAAACACGAACCAAAAGGGTGATGCAGTGGCTTATGCTTATAATCATAGCACTTTGGAAGTTCAAGGTGGGACAATTGCTTGAGGACAGGAATTCCAGACTAGCCTGGACAACATAGTGAGATCCCTGACTCTACAAAAATATATAAAAATTAGCTGGGCATGGTGGCTCATGCCAGTGCTCCCAGCTACTCAGGAGGCTGAGGCAGGAGCATTGCTTGGGCCCAGGAGGTCCAGGCTGCAGTGAGCTGAGTTCATGCCACTGCACTACATCCTGGGTGACAGAGCAAGACTCTGTCTCAAAAATAAAAAAATGAAAATAACATGCGTCATGTTACCTAACAGAATTATTATGTCTCTACTTATATCTGTTTGATGTGTTTTCATCTATTTTACATTATGGATCTTGTTTTCTGGTTACAAGTGTAAAGAACTCTGAGAAAATTCTGCGATAGTTACCTAAAATTGTAATATGTTTTGTAATCAAGTATGGGATATTTGTAAATATCTTCTGAATTGAAATTTTAGAGAATTCCTCCTGTTCAAGGACATGTTTTCAGCTTAAAATGAGATTTTTTTTAATTTAT